TAACTTTCTAGTGCTACAGAAATTGCAAAATTGACTCAAGCAGAGAAATAACTAGAAATTCTGCTCTCAGTCTCAGAGGCTGGTGCCAGAGACAAACTTGTCAACAAACAATCATAGCATGAGTGGTGCCTCTCATTTTGCGTTCAACAGTATCAGAGTGATCTTTCCCTATCAGTGTATATTGATTTTTCTCTCTTTGATTTTTTATTATATTTCACAGTGTGTGTGCGCCAGAGTTTACTTAACACTTCACACTGTTGATAGACATTTACGTTCCTTTATTTCTGAGTTTTCTGTATTGCAAATAGTGATGCTCAAATGTAAATATATCTGAGATCATTTAAACTTGTCCTTCAAAATGGCTTTACCAGTTTGTGGTACCAGCATCCTCACCAATGCATTCTTTGGTAGCTGTTCATAAGATTGAGAATAGTCCTCTTTTAGTATTCAAATAGAAAAGTTACAGCTATGCTATATACGAAGTAGTATATATTAGCAGCAAACATGAATTCCGGAGCTAGGAAAAAATGACTACAGAAAATTTTCAGTTCATCTAACGATTTAGTGAGGGAAAGAGAGATCCCCAATACATTCTCCCACATCTAAACTTAATTTGCTGTTGCCAGTTCTTCTCTCAAAGGAAACTAATGGGAAGTCAACTACTGTATCATAAATATGAAACTTGTGTTTAGTAAATTACAAGACTTAATTGACCCTAAATGTCCTACTGTAAGTGCATGACTAGAGGAGGTAGCGAAGACTCGTGGAAGGAGCATGGACTCCAGAGACCTGGGGTTGAAATCCTAGCTCTGCCACTTCATTGTAGTAGCTATATTTTTATTAATTTTAAAAACTAGTTTGAAATGGGTTGCAACGTGAGTGAGAATGTAATTCTTTAAAGAGTACACAGAATTCTACTGCCTGTCGTATTTTGCATCCATTGTCTTATTTGACTTTTGGTAGCGGGAATAGAAGTTAAGACTTCCTTTTGTAGATGTGGGTTCAAAAATGACAGTTCAAAAATGGAGTGCTCCGTTAGAACCCAGGGCTTCTGGCTCCTGGTCTAGCACGCTTTCCTTTAAGTCACATTGCCCGATGTTCTTTTGAGTCCCTTGTGATTAATTCTTGGTTTGTTTTCATGTTGCTAGCATATTTGTGTAAGGTTCCGCCAGAGCCAACAAAATGTTTAGTCCCTGCTTTGTGTGAGTAATAATGCTAAGCACTTATTGTTGGCTTATCCGTTTTCATTTAGCGATTACGATTACCTCAGGTGAAAAGGAATTTGTTATTTGGAAGAAAGCGAATCTGATAGTTTTATATTACAATGATCCTCAAACTCTTTGTATGAAGTTACTGTTTTCATTTCTGAAACAATACGGCCACATAAATGTGATGAGAGCCCCTTAGCTGAGGAATATGAAGAATATTGATGACTTTTAGTTTTGTGAGGGAGATGGTAATTGGTGGAAGTCTTTGGCATCCTTACAGGAATACCATCATTACATGTTTAATGGAAAGACAGACACTCATAAAGACAGACCACCATTAAAGCTACCAAGCTAATTTAATGTCCACGTTTGCATCATGCTATGAATTTGTTTAGAAAGAAAGAGGGCATTTTGATGCATGAATAATGCTGATGTTTAAAATTATATTTTTTAAAACAAAATCTAGTTCCATTTTGAGGAACTGGGAAATTCTCTTGAACTCTATAGATTTGAAGGGTCAATGTATTATTTAATGTATATAACCTAGGATAGATTGGTATGTAAGACCTCCAGAGGACTCTGTCAACTGCAACTCTAGAAATTTTTTTATTACCGCCAGTTCCTTTATTACCGTTAATTCTTTTATCACTTCTTCTTAAAAGCAAAGTACACATGCACACCGGTACACTTAAGTCTTAGAGTATTACATTAGAGGTCCCAAAGAAATGCCTTATGTATGTAACTGTCTATTATTTTTTTATATTGAGACATGAGGAAAATAGAAAAAAATAGTTTATTTCCATTTTGAGGAACCATTATTATAATTCTCTCCCTTTGTAATAATCAAAATACAAGAAATGTGGAACATGGAGATACTTTCAGGAAGGGCTTCAGTATTTTTTAGCATGTTTATATGGCAGATTGTAGACCAGTAAAAAATTTTCTTTTCATATGTACTCTGTCCAGACACATGCATAGCCTCTCTCATTATCAACACCCTCCACCGCTGTGGCACATTTTTTTACAGTCGATGAACCTACACTGACAAATCATAACCACCCAAAGTCCATAGTTAACCTCAGGGTTCACTCTTGGTGTTGTACATTCTGTGGGCTTTGACAAATGTTTAATGTTATTTATCCATCATTATAGTCTGTTACAGCAGTTTCACTGCCTTAAAAATCTTGTGTGCTCCAGTCATTTACCACTTCTTCCTCGCCAACCCTGGGCAACCAGTTATCTTTTTATTGTCTTCATAGTTTTTACCTTTTCTGTGGTTGGAATCGCACAGCCTCTTCAGATTGGCTTCTTTCATGTATAATGTGCACTTAAGGTTCCTCTGTGTCTTTTCAGGGGTTGGTAACTCCTTTCTTTTTAGTGCTGAATAACATTGTCCAAATGTATCAGTTCATCCATTCACCTGCTGAAGCCATCTGAGTTGCTTCCAAATTTCGGCTGTTGTAAACAAAGCTGCTGTGAATACATATCCATGTGCAGGCTTTCGTGTGGACATAAGTGTTCATCTCCTTTGGGTAAACACCAAGGAGGGCCGTTCCTGGACCATATGGTAAGAGTGTGTCTAGTTTTGTGAGAAACTTCCAAAGAGGTTGTGCCATTTTGCATTCCCAGCAGCAGTTAGAGTTCCTGTGGCTCCACATCCTCACCTGCATTTGGTGTTGTCAGTGTTCCTAATTTTGGCCACTGTAATAGACGTTCAGTGGTTTCTCCTTGTTTTAATTTGCATTTCCCTGATGGCATATGATGTGGAACATCTTTTCATATGCTTTTTTTGCCATCTGTATTTCTTCTTTGGTGAGTTGTTCATTAAGATCTTTGGCCCATTTTTAAAATCAGGTTTCTTATTTTCTTACTGTTGAGTTTGAAGTTCTTGGTATATTTTTGGTAACAATCTTTTATCATGTGTGTCTTTTGCAAATCTTTTCTCCCAATCTGCAGCTGTCTTC